GGCGATCTGGGCCTCGAGCAGGCGGATGCCGTGGTCCCTGACGATGAGCTCCTTCTTCATGGCCTGGAAGAGGGACATCTTTTGCCCTGTGTAGGGGTGGGTGTATCCTGTCACGGCTCTCTCTGCACTGAGAAGTTTCTTTTGTAGTTCGCTGCCCACCAGCCCGGCTGATACGGCCTCGTCCACCGACAGCTTCTGGTTGTTGACCGGGTCAATGATGAAGCCCGTGGCCGCCTGCGCCTCCAGCAGCACCAGGGCCGTGCCCTGCCTCAGGATGCCCTTCCACATGGCCTGGTAGATGCTCATCTTCTCCATCCTGCCGGGGTCGGCCTTGGAGGGCACCAACACGCCGGCGATGCTTCCGGTTCCCTCGAGGTATCTCCTCACACTGTCCATCTGTGCTATTTCCTGAGCCGTCTCTTTTCCTTCGTGGAGTTTTTCTATGGTTTCCTCTGTAATTATTTGTGCACTGAGCAGTTCTGACGCTGTTATTTGTTGCCGGATTCCCTGGAACCAGACATCACTTCTGTCCTCCTCTTTTTCCCTGATGATCTTTAGTATTATCTCAATGATTCCCTGCAGTATATGTTGAGATTCTGCTTTGTATTTTTTCAGCAGTTCTTTCCTTTTCTCCTCCGTGATGTACTCGGAGCAGAGAAGTTCCCACAGAGATAACACTTGTCCCTTGTATTTCCCCACGGGCACTTGGACCATTGTACACAGCAGGGTGTTCTTTGTCTGCTCGTCGATGTAGAAATAGTCGTCCTGCTTTTCCAGGACCTGCAGCAGGTACAAGCCGCTCTCCCTGTCCTTGGCACACCTCTGCAGGAGCTGACTGTAGCTGATCTTCTCGCGAGTGTTGGGGTCTATGAAGCCTTTGCTGCCGTGGTCTGGGTCCGAGAGCAGGAGGAACATGTCCTCGTCCAGGTGCCCACGCCGATAGGCCACGTCCAGGGGCAGGCGGTGGCCGTGCACGGGGTCAACGATGCCGCCGGTGGCGAGCTGGGCCTCGAGCAGGCGGATGCCGTGGTCCCTGACTGTTCTCTTCTGCCTCACGGCCTGGAAGAGGGATATTTTATCTCCCGTTTGAGGATCCGTGTATCCCGTCACGGCTTTCTCTGCCAGCAGCAGCGGCTCGTGCAGTTCGCTGCCCACCAGCCCGGCCGACACGGCCTCGTCCACCGACAGCTTCTGGTTGCTCAGGGGGTCGATGAGGAAGCCGGTGGCCGCCTGCGCCTCCAGCAGCCCCAGCGCACACTGCTCTGTGAGGAGGCCCTTCTTCAGTGCCTGGTAGATGCTCATCTTCTCCTTCCTCGGTGGGAGAAGAACCCCGGCGATGCTCCCAGTGCCGTCCAGGTACCTTTGGATGCTGTCCCTCTTTGTGAGGGCGGCAAGTGTGAGACTCCCATCGTGCAGCTGGTCCAGGGTTTTCTTGTCGATTATCTCGGAGTTGAACAGTTCTGACACCGACACCTCCCCCCGCAGTCCTTTGACCTTGAGGGCTTCTGCTCTTTGCTCCGTGTCCTCGATGATTTTTAAGATGAGGGATATCAGATTTTCCAGCGTCAGGGTTTTGCTTTTGTACTGCATCACCAGCTCTTTCCTTTTCTGCTCCGAGATGTAGTGGGAGCAGAGCACTTCCCAGACGGAAACCGTTTGGCCCTTAAACTTCCCAACCTTCACCTGGAGGGGCTTCGAGCGCAAAGCCTGTTTTGTGGACTCGTCGATGTAGAAGTACTTCCCTCCTTCCTTGACAACTTGCAGCATGTACAGCCCAGTCTCGGGGTCTTGGACGCACCTCTCCAGCAGCTGCATGTAGGTCAGGTTCTCGTGGGTGTTGGGGTCGAAGAAGCCCTTGGTGTCATCGCTGGGGTCGGACAGGACCTGGTTCATCTCCTGGTCGAAGTAGCCCCGTTTGTAGGCCACCTCCACGGGCAGGCGGTGGCTGTGCACGGGGTCGATGATGCCGCCGGTGGCGATCTGGGCCTCGAGCAGGCGGATGCCGTGGCTCTTCACAATCAGCCCCTGGTTCATGGCTTCGAACAGGGACATGGGGGCTTTGGTGTAGGGGTCGGTGTAGCCCGTCACGGCTCTCTCTGCGCAGAGCAGCTTTTCGAAAATCTCCCCTCCGATCAGACCCTCCTTTAACGCTTCCTCCACGGAAAACCTCTGGTTTTTCTCAGGGTCAATGATGTAGCCGGTGGCTGCCTGCGCCTCCAGCAGCACCAGGGCAGTCCCTGGCCTCAGGATGCCTTTCCACATGGCCTGGTAGATGCTCATCTTCTCGTTGCTCGGCTGTATAAGGACCCCTGCTATGAAATTGCTGCCCTCCAGGTACCTGCGGACAGACTCCATCTCAGTGACTTCTTTGACTGTTTTCTTCCCCTGGTTGAGCTCATCGAGGGTCTTTTTGTCTATGAGTTGGGACTGGAAGAGGTCACTGGCAGATACTCTTTTCCGCAGGCCCTGGAATGCAAACTTCTTGCCTTGTGCCTCAGTCTCTTGGATGATCGTGGTGATAATCGTTGTGATCTCCCGCAGCACTTCAGTCTTCTCATCTTTGTACTTTTGCACCAGCTCCCTTCTCTTGCTGTCTGAGAAGTATTCGGAGTTGAGGAGGTCCCAGACAGACACTGTCTGTCCCTTGAACCGCCCCACGTTGACGCAGACAGTCACAGATTTCAGCACTTCCATGGTCTGCTCATCCACACAGAACATGGAGTTTTCCGACAGCGGGAGGAGCCACAGCCCCGACTCGGGCTCGCGAATGCACCGCTCCTTCAGCTGCTGGTAGGTCACGTTCTCCTTGGTGTTGGGATCAAAAAAGGCCTTGGTGCTGTCGTTCAGCTGAGACAGGGTTTGGTTCATGCCCTCGTCGTAGAAGCCGTACCTGCACGCGGCCTGGAGAGGCAGGTGGAGGTGGTGGATGGGATCGACCACCCCTCCCGTGGCCAGCTGGGCCTCCAGCAAGGGAACAGCCTCTGCCAGGGGGATCAGCTCCTTCCTGAGCGCTTGGCACAGGGAGATGGAGCTCCCTGTGTAGGGATCCGTGTACCCCGTCACGGCCCTCTCGGCGAGGAGGAGTTTCTCGGTGAGCTCTTCGCCCACAACAGCCGCTCTCACAGCGTCCCTCACGCTGAGCCTCCGGTTCGTTGCAGGGTCAGTCAGGTATCCTGTGGCTGCCTGAGCCTCGAGCAGCCTCAGAGCAGCCCCAGGGAGGAGGAGGTTGTTTTTCATGGCATCATAGAAGCTCATCTTCTGTTTGGACGCCTCTATGAAGACGCCGGCGATGCTGCCCGTGCCCTGCAAGTACCTCTTCACGCTCTCCATCGCAGCCACTTCCTCAGGAGTTCTTATGCCCTGAGCCAGTTCTTCAAACGTCTTCTCAGAAATGATGCCAGTGTCCAGCAGCCAGACCACGGGGACACTGCCCCGCAGGCCCTCCAGGGAGATCTGGGTCCGGGCCTTCATCTCCATGTCCCCCACGAGCCTGAGCACAAGAGCGACCAGCTGCTGCAGCGACAGCTCCTCGGAGCGGAACCTCTCCACGAAGTCGCTCCTCTGCTCCTCAGTGAAATACCCTGAGTGGATGAGCTCCCAGAGGGAAACCCCTTTCTCCTTCACCGTGGTTTCCTTGAAAATCCGTTGGATTTGCTCATCGGTGTAGGCAGGAGCAGCTGTCTGGGGCAGAGGCAGCAGGTGGAAGCCGGAGACGTCGTCCTTCTGGCAGTGCTGGATTAGCTCAGCGTAGGTCACGGACTCTTTGCTGTCCGGGAGGCAGAAGGCTCTGTGCTCGTCACTGGGCTTGGAAAGGGCCTTGCTCGTGTCCTCATCCAGGCACCCTCGCTGCTGGGCCGACTCCAGGGGGATGTGGTGGCCACACGCGGGGTCAATGATGCCTCCTGTGGCCATCTGCACCTCCATGAGCTGCATGGCCTGTTTGTCCGTGATCAGGCCCTTCTTCATTGCCTGGAAGAGGGAGATCTTCTTGCCCGTGAAAGGGTCCTTGTAGCCCGTCACGGCCCCCTCCGCGTGCTGCAGCTTCTCGTGGACGTCCGGGCCGATGACTCCCTCCCTGACAGCCTCGTCCACACGGAGCTTCTGGTTGTTCACGGGGTCGATGATGAAGCCCGTGGCAGCCTGGGCCTCCAGCAGGGGCAGGGCTACTCCTGGCACCACAATGTTCTGCTTCATGGCCTCGTAAATGCTCATCCTCTGGTTCGATGGCTGGAGCACAATCCCCCCGATGCTGCCCGAGCCATAGAGGTACTTCCTGACAGAGTCCATGCGCAGGACTTGCTCTGGCGTGACGGATCCCTCCAGCACCTTCTCAAACAGGGCCCTGTCGATGACGCCCGTTTCCATCAGGTGGTAAGCACTGACGCTGCCTCGCATGGCTGGGAACTTGATGGGGGCCCACTTCTTCATTTCCTCCTCCAGCAGCAGTCGGATTTGCTCCAGGCTGAGCTTCCTCAGCTGGAAGTGGTTGAAGATCTCCCGGCGCCTCCCCTCACTGAAGTACTCGGAGTTCAGCAGGTCCCACACAGAGACCTTCTCCCCCCGTAGGCGCCCGAACCTGACGGGCAGCCAGGAGCTCCTGAACACCTGCCTGGTGGCCTCGTCGATGAACTGGCGCTTCCTGCTGTTCAGAGGGAGGAGGCAGAGCCCGGTGGAGGGCTCGGTGATGCACTTCTCCTTCAGCTGCAGGTAGGTCAGGTTCTCGTGGGTGTTGGGGTCGAAGAAGCCCTTGGTGTCGTCGCTGGGGTCGGAGAGGATTAAATTCATCTTCTTGTCGAAGTAGCCCCGTTTGTAGGCCACCTCCACGGGGATGCGGTGGCTGTGCACGGGGTCGATGATGCCGCCGGTGGCGATCTGGGCCTCGAGCAGGCGGATGCCGTGGTCCCTGACGATCAGCTCCTTCTGCATGGCCTGGAAGAGGGAGATCTTGCTCCCTGAGTAGGGATCTCTGTAGCCGGTGACTGATTTCTCCGCAGCCAGCAGCTTGTCGTAAACGTCCGGGCCGATGACGTTCGCCCGCAAGGCCTCGTCCACGGAATACCTTTTGTTGGCAGTGGGGTCAATGACAAACCCCGTGGCAGCCTGTGCCTCCAGGAGGATCAGAGACGTCCCCGGCCTTAGAAGTCCTTTCCTCTTTGCCTGGTAGATGCTGATCTTCTCCTGGGAGTCGGGGAGCAGCAGCCCCGCGATGCTCCCTGTGCCCTGCAGGTACTTCCTGACCGTGTCCATGCCCACAACTTCTTTGGCTGACGTTTCACCCTCCTTGAGTTTCTTGAACAGGTCTTTGTTGATAATTTCTGAGCTCAGGAGCTGGTCGGCCGTCACCTGGTCCCTCAGGCCCTCGAAGGTGACGTTGGCAGTGGCAGCCGTTTCCTCGAGGGCAGCTCTGACGGCCTCACCCAGCCCTTGCGTGGAGAGAGCTCCCGACAGGAACTGCTGGGCGAGAGCAGCTCTGCGCTTGCCCGGGATGTGGTCAGAGAAGAGGAGTTTCCAGAGGGACACCGACTTGCCCTTGAACTTCCCTACAGAAATGGGCACCCGGGTGTTTTCCAGAGCCATTTGGGCCCTGTGGTCAAAGAAAAGGGGGGTTCCCTGGGATCCTTCAGCGCCGTCCCCACCAAGTGGCAGCAGCAGGAGCCCCGTGCCAGGGTCGGTGACGCAGCGCTGGAGCAGCTCCGAATAACTCATCTTTTCCTTGGAGCTGGGGTCAAAGTACCCTTTCACGTGGTCGGGAGGGCTGGAGAGGAGCTGTCTGGTGGCCTCATCCAGGTACCCCCACTCGCAGGCTGTCTCCGTGGGGACACGGAGGTGCCTGCCTGGAGCAATCACACCCCCCGTGGCCATCTGAGCCTCCAGAAGGCAGAGGCCGTGGTCCCTGGGGACAAATCCCTTCCTGACGGCTTGGAACAGGGAGAGCATCTCCCCGGTGGAGGGGTCTCTGTATCCAGTGATGGTTTTCTCAGCTGAAGACAGTTTCTCATGAAGCTCTGGGCCGATAAAACCGACCCTGACAGCCTCATCCACTGAGTAGGTTTTGTTCTTCAGGGGGTCTGTCAGGCTGCCGGTGGAGGCCTGGACTTGCAGGAGCATCAGAGCAGCACCAGGAACAAGGAGATGCTCTCTCAGTGCTTGGTAAAGGCTCCTCTGCTCCCCAGAAGGCAGGACAACCCCGGCCACACTCCTCGTCCCACGCAGGAACTGCTGGACGACGTCGTTCTCTGCCAACTCCTGTGCAGAGACTGTTCCCTCCTCGAGGCCTCGGAACACGTCGTGGCTGATGATGCCGGAGTCCCGCAGGTCCCTGCTGCTCACCCTCCCTCCCAGCCCCGGGAATGTGATTTGCAGGGGCAGGAGGAGGAAGCCCGAGGCCGGATCCACGACACACCTCTTCCTAAGCTCCGAGTAGGTGACCTTCTCTGTAGTGCTGGGATCGAGGAACCCTCTGCTGTCCTCATGGCTGGGGTCAGAGAGGTGCCGGCTCATCTCTTCGTCCAAATATCCCCTCTCACAGGCCACATCCACGGGCAGGCGAGCGCCGGTGGCCGGGTCGATGACGCCGCCGGTTGCCATCTGTGCCTGGAGCAGCCGCGTGCCCTGCTCCCTCCCCACCAGCTCCTTCTGCATCGCCTGGTACAGGGGGATTTTCTCTTCTGTGTAGGGGTCCAGGAAACCAGTGGCAGCTCTCTCCGCTGCCAGCAGCCTCTCCTTCAGCTCCAGCCCCACCAGCCCCAGGCGCACGGCGTCTGCCACCGAGACGCGCCGGCGCGTCACCGGGTCGGCAACGGAGCCCGTGGCTGCCTGGGCCTCCAGGAGGCTGAGGGCCGGATCCAGGCCCAGGAGGTGCTCTCTGGTGGCCTCATAAAAGCTCATTATCTTCTTTGAAGCCTCTACATACACGCCAGCAATGCTGCCAGCTGCCTCCGAGGGCTCCCCGGGAGCATCCGGCCCCGCCGCGGCCCCGCCGGCTGCTCTCGGCTGTTTGTGCGGCATCGCCTCCTGGCACAAGCGGCTTTTCCCTGGCGTGTCTTCCCCGGGAAAGCTGGGGACAGCGTGGCCATTCACCGCTGGCTTGCTCTCCATCCTCCCGCTGCAGGTCTTCCACAGGACTCTGGAGAGAGGGGGGAGAGTGGGAAGCGTCAGTGAGAAACCAACTTCTTTGTGCTTTGCATGTCAAATACAGGGAAATCAGAAGGATAAACACCCCCCCCCCAGGCGGGAGGAAGCGACAGCCAAAGGCTGAGCATGTCTGAACATGATGTGCCATCCCAAGGGGTCTGGCCAAGATCAAAGGGTTGGTGGAGGAGAAGCTCCACATGCCCCAGCCGTGTGCACTGGCACCCAGAAACCCCCCTTTTCCTGGGCTGATCCCACAGCGTGGGCAGCAGGGGAGGGGGGGGTTCTGCCCCTCTGCCCCACTGAGATGAGACACCACCTGCAGAGCTGCCTCCAGCCCTGGGGCCCCAACATAAGAAGGGTGTGGAGCTGCTGGAGAGAGTCCAGAGGAGGCCCCGGAGCTGCTCCCAGGGCTGGAGCCCCTCTGCTCTGGAGCCAGGCTGGGACAGCTGGGGGGGTTCACCTGGAGAAGGGAAGGCTCCAGGGAGACCTGAGAGCCCTTTGCAGGGCCTAAAGGGGCTCCAGGAGAGCTGGAGAGGGACTGGGGACAAGGGATGGAGGGACAGGACACAGGGAATGGCTTCCCCCTGCCAGAGGGCAGGGATGGATGGGATATTGGGAAGGAATTCTCCCCTGGGAGGGTGGGGAGGCCCTGGCACAGGAGAAGCTGTGGCTGCCCCATCCCTGGAAGTGTCCAAGGCCAGGTTGGACGGAGCTTGGAGCAACCTGCTCCAGTGGAAGGTGTCCCTGCCCATGACAGGGAGTGGGACTGGATGGGCTTTAAGGTCCCTTCCCACCCAAACCATTCCATGATTCAGTGATTCCAGGAGTCCCGACATGCAGGTCCATGGGCTCCCACCGTGGCTGCCCCACGAACCCCCCTCTCCTCCTGCTGTCCCTCCTTCCCACACTCCCCAGGCAACGCAAGGAGGGCAGAGGCTCCACCTTAGTGAGCAGCAGACACCAGGCAAAGACTCTCCGGGGCTGCCTCAGGGTGAGGCAACATCTAATCCAAACCTACCCCCCCGTCTGCAAAGCTCTGGGACATCCTGGGATCTGCCCCGGTGCAGTGAGGGTGCTGCAGGGAGCAGAGGTCGTGGGGCTGGGCCGTGGTGCTGGGCTGTGTTCTTGGGCTGTGGTGCTG